TAGTTTTGAGAATTATATAAGAATAGCTGGGAGAATTAAATAAGGCCATGCATGTATAACATGTAATTTGCTTGGTAAAGCTGAAACTGGATACACCTGTACAAACATTTTTTGAACAATAACAATGTTTGGGGTCATATACAAACTGCTTGTGGGTACAGACACAGCTCACGAATAGAAGAGAGCTGACAGCAACTTTTTCTTGTAATGAGGGCACAGAGGGCATTCCCTTTTCATCAGCAAAATAAAATTGTACAAATGTTCTCAGTGATATCAATGGGAAGTTATTCTCTGCTCCAATTTATAGAAGACTGAATTGTGCATTCATATTAATAGTACCCATAATAATGGAGAAAAAATGAGTAGCAAAAATAAATATAAATCACAAGAATAAAGCCTAATTACTTTGCAAATCCAAAATGCAGTTTTACCCATGTCCAGTATACTTAGTTTTAAGAAATGGATTCCTATAAATTTTAATGTGGGGCTTCCCTGGTGGCGCAGTGGTTAAGAATCCGCCTGCCAGTGCAGGGGACACGGGTTCAAGCCCTGGTCCGGGAAGATTCCACATGCCGCGGATCAACTAAGCCTGTGCACCACAACTACCGAGCCTGAGCTCTAGAGCCCACAAGCCGCAACTACTGAGCCCGCGTACTGCACCTACTGAAGACCGGGCACCTAGAGCCCATGCTATGCAACAAGAGAAGCCACCACAATGAGAAGCCCGCACAACACAACAAAGAGTAGCCCCCACTCACCGCAACTAGAGAGAGCTCGCGCATGGCAACAAAGGCCCAACGCAGCCAACAAATTAAAAAATAATGATAATAAATTAATTAAAAAAAAAAAAGAAACGTTACATAATTTTGGGATGACAGAAAGCAGTGGCTAAACTGAGATTCAGGCCCAGGACTATCTCACTTCAAAGCCCCATCTGCAATGCCAGCATCTTCTGTGTACCTTATGTATACAAGGAACAATGCTGAGAATGCTTATTGAATGGTGGCTAATTTAACTGACCAGGCATCTCTCAGGATTTACACCAGTAAATTCATTTGGTCTGTAAATCCATAGCAATTAGAGTAGCTTTCAAGAGTTTTATAAAAGGCAATTAGAAGGAAGGGATACTTAAATATATGTGCCCATCTAAAAAATTCATAAATGTTTCTTCTGAACGTTTGAAACAGTTATTTCCTTTTTAAAAGTATTTTTTGTTGTTGAAGCCAGCGTTTGGGGCAGAGGAACTGTACCCAAGTAAAGTATTTATTCAAGAAACTGATTTATCTTTGGGAATCTTGGGGACACCAGATGATCTTTGTAAAATAGGAATTTGACTGTTCCCTTGCTCAGAACTCTTCATCTGCTGTTAAGGAGAGGATTGGAGATTAGGCAGCAGACACTCTAGAAAGTGGATTCGTTTATGACAGTGGCACAGGAGTTGTTGCCCCACTGCCTGTTTTATATCACCCATGAGCTAAGAATGAATTTTATAATTTTAAATGGCTTTTTAAAATCAAAAGAAGATGTGAAAATGTATGAAATTCAAGTTTCAGTATCCGTAAAACATTTTTTGGCACAGAGACATGCTCATTTGTTTATGTATCATCTATGGCTGCTTCTGCGTTGCAACGGCAGAGCTGAATTGTTAAGGCAGAAACCCTACAAAGCCTGAGATATTTGCTCTCTGGCCCTAGTCTGGTGCTTGCTCTAGAGGGAGTGATTAAGAGTGCAGACTTTGGAGTCAGATGGAACGGGGCTCAAAACTCAGTTCGTGTGCTTGTAAAACGTTGTAGCCATTTAAGGAGACGAGGTAAACTCAGAAGAGCTGACTTAGGGATTTCTGCCTTCTACCAAGGAGAAATGAGCATGATTAGAAGTGTCTACAGTTCTTTTACTTGGCAGTGTAATAATAGAGAATACAAGAATATAGCTAAAGTGAAACTTTATACAATATCTAATTGCAGTTACCTTAAGCAACCCTGTCTCAGCATTTTTGCACATGCCACTTACACTAGTGAGGACTCCTGAGTGCCAGGACCAGCACTCCCAGCTCAAACTGGCTTAAACAATGAGGGGAATGGTCTCTCTCAAAACTGAAAAACACAGATATAAGGCATGTTTCAAGCTCCACTGCTCTGAAATCTCTGCCTTCTTTCCTGTACTGGCTTTGTCCTCACGCTGGCTATGGGGACATGGCTGCAGCGGATCCAGACCTCTCATCTTTGTAACACGTGGACACCCCCAACCAGTGAACCAGAGACTGAGCTTCACTCCAATCGGGCCAATCTCAGGTCTCCCACCAGCCCCTGAACCAGTCTCAGTGGTAAGAAGAACGGGAGTCAGTCCCACCCCAGTGGCACCAAGGAAAGGCAGGCTGAATGTGGGGAGAAAGCCAACAGTGTCCACTATAGAGTTGTGTATAAGATATTACCTATAACATGTTTATCAAGAAAACCAGTCCATAATGTACTAGGTATTTCATTTTTCACCTCTCTTTGAAACTAATGCCACTTATGTTTTCATTCAACTAGCCCTATGCCAAGAAGTTCAACGAGGGTAGCTTGGTTCCTGCCTTAAAGATACAAAATCCGAGGGCATCCCTGGTGGCGCAGTGGTTGAGAGTCTGCCTGCCGATGCAGGGGACACGGGTTCGTGCCCCGATCTGGGAAGATCCCACATGCCGCGGAGCGGCTGGGCCCGTGAGCCATGGCCGCTGAGCCTGCGCGTCCGGAGCCTGTGCTCCGCAATGGGAGAGGCCACAACAGTGAGAGGCCCGCGTACCGCAAAAAACAAACAAACAAACAAACAAACAAAAAAATGTTTAATAACAAATCAATGTAATGTTTGGACAGTGAGTGGTTTCCCAGATTAATACAAATATACACAACCATGCAAAGCAAACTAAACGCTGAAATTTATCATTTCCATAAACAGTGGTTTTTAAACTGTTGTCCAGTGAGTTTGGGTATTTTTCTTCCTGCTTCAGTTTCAACTTCAGCAACAACTGAGTGTAGCACATTTTCCTGCTTTGTTTATTTTGCAACTTAAAAAAAAAAAAAAAAAAAAAAAAAAAAAGATACAAAATCCGAGGTTGTGGTCCTAACGTTTGGGTCCCCGGCGTCTGGTTTCTTCCCCGCAACATCGAGAGCTAATGAGTCTGAACTACCTGCACTGTGTTAGATCACGTGATCCGATCTGGAAGCTGCCCCCGGCCTTCCAGCATTGTGGATACTGGTACCCTTTGAGGGATTCTTGTGTATCAGTACAAATGGAATAGAAATTTTAAAATATTTATTGCCTTATAAGAAAGCTTTTACCGTTTTTAGTTTGAGGTAACAGCTGTCATCTATAAAGTTGATTGATGTGTTTATGTGTAAAGAAGCCTACATAATATGATTTGGGCTAGTCATAATGTGTTGTAGGAGAATTTAGAAATATAATGACCTCTTAATTACCCATAATTGGATTCTCTTTGTAAAAATCTAAAACAAATAAAGCGAAAAAAGCAAACGTTCACTTTTAACCTGCAAACCCTTGCATGGAAAGTCTTAAGTTCTTATTTTAATAAAACTGAGCCATTCATGCCAGAAAATCCAGCGAGGAGGCCTTTATTTCTATTTCAGGTGTACAGATTCCAAGACTGGCTGGTTGTTATGATTCCACACCCTCCAGCACAGTGATTTTTAGGTCGTACAGTTGCCATTATATAATTAAACATTCCTATCATGCTTAACATTTGTTTCCTGAAATGAACTTTAATTCAACACTGAAAAAGTGCCAAGTCTCATTGAGACATATGAGATTTCTAATCCTTTACAGGATCACAGAAATTTAGAAGATTTATAAGCTTCACGGCTGACAGATTTTGCTTTCACAGTGTTGAAATTATCACCTTCCTGCCTTTCTGAGCTCTCGTGCTGACTTTTCTCCCATCGAGGTTTATTCTCGCTGCGTGGGACTTACAGCCGCATTAGACCTGGACAGGGTGGCAGAGATTGAGATCTGCTCCTCCCGTTAAGGCTTCTGGCTCTAGGAGTGTTCTTTAAATCAAAAGAGCTAATTAGCTTCCTTGAAACATCCTGTTTGCAGTTCCCTGGGGAAGGGGAAGCTGAGACAACCGGCTTAAAGAGATTTTTAATTAGACTAGTGCTTTTTCAGGCAAGAAGTGATTCCACCTCTGCCTCTGGGAGACCGGGAAGAGAGAGAAGCCAAGCAGGAGGGGCAGAGAAACGGGAGGACTTTTGTGTGTTTTCTAAGATTAGGATGATTTACTTGTTAAGTTTCAAGTACTGAGAACTCTCACATCAGCACGTATTTGGTTGTGCTTTCCAAAGCACTGTTTTGAATTATCTGCGACACAGCGAAGTTTGAGCAGAATTTTAGTGGACTTTTTTTTCAGCCAGCCTACAAGACCCCCTCCCTTGTGATTTTTCAGACTGGTGCTGATAGCACTTGGGTGCATTTTGGGGGACGGTGCACATAACCTTTCCGGTGATGTTGCACCTCCTCAGAGAGGCTGCTTCCTAATGCCTCTGTATCCTCCATCTGTGGGTCAGCTGAATTTGGTAACTGGAAGTGGAAATGCGAAAGGTGCTCATCTTATCCCTTTTCTCTTCGTTCACCTTGGGAGGGAGGACTTTCCAGCCTCCGCTAGAAAAATCTCTGCCGCCAATTAGGAAAATATTGTTAGTGGTTAATAATTTCCTGTTTTTAATTTTACAGTCAACGACGTTATTTTTAGATACCAAAGTCGTTGTCTTAATGTTAAACTACTCTGCTTGGGATGAATAATATTTACTTATAAATACTTCTTAGAACTAATGCTGCATATTTAAATTACAGAGAATTTTTTTTCTTAGAAGAAAACTCCCTCTTTTCTTTCCTTCAGGAATGCTACATGACATCCCTGTTGCTTGGTGAGTAATCAGACATGTAAACAGGACCTCAAGAATCAAGCTACATTCAGAGAAGACTTACTTAGAAACACTGGAGAGGACACCATGGAGTGCAAGACTGAGGGAAAAGAAAGATACCAACACAGTTTGAATTTACTGAATAAAATTAAGAACATGAGAGAACTAGCAGAGATGATTGATGTTGTGCTCATCGCAGAAGGGGAGAGATTCCCTTGCCACAGGCTGGTCCTGGCTGCATTCAGTCCTTATTTCAAAGCGATGTTTACCTGTGGACTACTTGAGTGTACTCAGAGGGAAGTCGTACTTTACGACATCACAGCAGAAAGTGTGTCGGTGATATTAAATTATATGTACCATGCGGCTTTGGAGATCAGTAATGCCAACGTACAGACTGTGGCTGTGGCCGCCTATTTTATGCAGATGGAGGAAGTCTTCAGTGTGTGTCAGAAGTATATGGTGGACCATATGGATGCCTCGAACTGTTTGGGTATCTATCATTTTGCAAAGCAGATTGGAGCTGAGGATTTAGCTGATCAATCAAAGAAGTATTTATATCAGCACTTTGCTGAGGTGAGCTTACATGAAGAGATACTAGAAATTGAAGTGCACCAATTTCTGACGCTTATTAAATCAGATGACCTGAACATATCCAGAGAGGAGAGCATTCTGGACCTAGTTCTGAGATGGGTAAATCATAACCGAGAACTGCGCACAGAGCATCTTGTGGAACTTCTGAAGCACGTTAGGTTGCAACTGGTAAATCCTTCTTTTTTAAGACAAGCCCTGAAAAGGAACACAATGCTTCTGTGTGATGCAAACTGCATTGACATCATTCAAAACGCATTCAAAGCCATCAAGACCCCTCAACAGCACTCTCTCAATCTTCGTTATGGCATGGAGACTACCAGTCTTTTGCTGTGCATTGGCACCAACTCTTCAGGAATCAGGTCGAGACACAGGAACTACGGAGATGCCAGTTTTTGCTATGATCCTGCATTGCGCAAGACCTATTTCATCCCGTCTCCCAAGTATGGGGAGGGTTTAGGCACTGTGTGTACTGGTGTTGTCATGGAAAACAACACTATCATCGTGGCTGGAGAAGCAAGTGTCTCTAAACTCTCCAGACAAAAGAGCAAGAATGTTGAAATCTACAGGTTAGTATCTAGCCATATACTTGGAACTTTGTTTCAATTATCTTGCTTTGACATTAGCAGCCTAAGTACTTCTGAGTGATCACATCTTAAATTACATGTGGTCAGAATTACCCTGTGATCACGTATTTCACATAGATGAAAAATTCATAATGAAATCATCCACATTTTAAAACTATTTTTCTCTCCCTTTCATTATTAAGAACATATAGTTGAATTTGCATAAGTTAAATGTATATACTTTATGATTCCTCTGTATATTTTCACTCTTAGCTTTCACTATTCATATGCTATAATTGCTTTGTTTTTGAAGAGCTGAATATAACTTTTAACGAGAAGAAAAGTTTATTAACACTGATGCCTTTGAACTGAATTTTATTAGTTCACAATTCAGAGTAATAAGTAATTTCTCTTCTTGACCAAAAAGTACTATTTATCTGTCAGTTTTCATTCTGTACTTTTTTAAAAAAATTTATTTATTTTTGGCTGTGTTGGGTCTTCATTGCTGCACGCGGGCTTTCTCTACTCGTGGTGAGCGGGGGGCTACTCTTCATTGCGGTGTGTGGGCTTCTCATTGCGGTGGGTTCTCTTTGTTGCAGAGCATGGGCTCTAGGCATGCGGGCTTCAGTAGTTGTGGCTTGTGGGCTCAGTAGTTGTGGCTCGCAGGCTCTAGAGCGCAGGCTCAGTAGTTGTGGCGCACGGGCTTAGTTGCTCCACAGCATGTGAGATCTTCCCGGACCAAGGCTTGAATCCGTGTCTCCTGCATTGGCAGGCGGGTTCTTAACCACCGCGCCACCAGGGAAGTCCTCCATTCTGTACCCTTAATGAGTGGGTCTTTGCTAAACCTCTAATAGTGTGAGATGTTTGTAGCCTAAGAATTCTGCAACGTAGAACTGTGAGAGGGACAGGAGTGCCTGCTAAGAAGTAGCATGTGTCTAGGTGCTGTGCGAGGACAGAAAGATGTTTCCTGTTGCTCAGCAAGAATTCAACCCTTAAATCTACCTGGGTGAATAAGAGTCATACGTGTAGGTCCTTGAGCTCTCCTTGCACTCCCTCCCCTCTCTGGGCCCTCGTAGCACAGTTTCTCAGGCTTTTCAGCCGGTAAGTGATTCTCGACAGCAAAGTGGGGACAGAGAAGGAATGAGAGGTCTGCTATTTTCCTGTCATCTCTCCTCGCTGCAGTGCGTGCTTCAGGCTCTCGGCCCGTCCCGCTGTCACCTTCACACGTTGAGCAAGTGTCCCTTCTTCCCAGCAGTGGGGGCGGGAACACAAGCCCTGGATAGTGACTGGCCCTCTGCCTGCAGTGACAGAGCTGTCACTGAGCAGCAACAGGTACAGGCCCTCAGGTGCTTGTGGGAAAGGGGGCCTGGTTCTCCTGGGACGGATCCTCTGGGTCCCTGACATTTGTTTCCTACTTGCTCTTGGCTGGGTGCCCTTCTTTTCACCTTAGAGCCTCCTGTACAAGAACCCCGGGTTCTTTAGATACCTATTTTCTTCCTCTTAAAGGTAGTGCAGGGCTTCCCTGGTGGCACAGTGGTTAAAGAATACACCTGCCAATGCAGGGCACGTGGATTTGAGCCCTGGTCCGGGAAGATCCCACATGCCACGGAGCAACAAAGCCTGTGCACCACAACTACTGAGCCTGAGCTCTAAAGCCCGCAAGCCACAACTACTGAAGTCCGCGCGCCTAGAGCCCATGCTCCGCAGGAAGAGAAGCCGCCGCAGTGAGAGGCCCGCGCACCGCCATGAAGAGTAGGCCCCGCTTGCCGCAACTAGAGAAAGCCCGTGTGCAGCAACGAAGACCCAATGCAGCCAAAAATAAAATTAATAAGTAAATTTTAAAAAATAAAGGTAGTCCACAACTCTGCCATCAGAGTTAATTGTTAACAAACGTCCAACCCTCTCAAAGTGTGTGTTTTCATCCTTGAAAGTCTTTCCTCTTAACTGTTTTTGAATGCCTGCTTCCCTTTTTGTGCGTGTGTCTAACTACACACCCCGCGTTTCCTTTCTTTCCTGTCTTGATCTCACGCCGGTTCCCATCACCAACAGCTCTTCCACGTTGGTCAGAATTAGGGTAAAACTATCAGTTGCCCTCCTCACTTCTCGCAATAATGAAACTGTCAGCAAGGCAAATAAAGAGATTATCAGAAGCACTGCTTGAGGCTTACGTGAGACTCGCAGTGCTGTCTGCATAGTTAAGGTCTGACAGTACCACCCGAGGTCACCGTCTTTGGTCCACTCCTGCCACATCATCTCTGCTCCTTACCCCGACTACCTTTGCCGAGACGCTCT